TTAAAACACCATAAGGTAACCGTTTTAATGAGGGTATGTACCAAGTTCATGTGGAATATAACCGAAGGACCATAGAAAAAACCTCAAAATCTTTACAGCAGAGTCCAGAATGACATTACAGAAGACGTACCATTTGATCTGAGACTTGCAGAATAAGTAAGCAACTGCCCAGATGGCTGTGTTTGAGCAGCAGGGGAGCAACGTGGTAGAGAGTTGGATGGAACAGATCAGAGACTGTAGAAGGAGGTCCTGGCTGACAGATATGAGTACAGACGTAACTGTGTGATCTATTCCAGTCTCTGCATACGCCTAAAATTGCTGGGGTGTGTGATGTGAGTGATTTTGGAAAAAAGGAGGTGGCTGGACAGGGAGGCAGGGGCTAGACTGGAAAGTCTTTCTAAAGTATATTAAAAAAAAAAAACAGAGCACAATGTCATAAAAAGAGTTCAACACAAGGCAGAGTTATTTGCAAATTGGGATCGGGCTCAGATGGTCACGGTAGGGGACTGTGGCGTTATTGGGGAAGGGAGGTGAGAAAGAAGTGGAGTTAACTGATGGCATTAAATAGCTCAGAGAAGTGGGGATGGGGACGAATAGTAGCGGAAAGAAACAAGACTGGAGTCAAGTGCAAAGTTGTAAGGAATACGTGGGGCTTCCATAGAAGACATAGTAGTAGAGTAGGGTAGGGGAGTGTGTGTGTGTGTGTACAGGTATGTCTAGGGAGTGGATAGGCAGGGGCAGGAGAGAGACTGAGGAACTGTCAGATGTTATCCTGACTTGGCCGTAAAGAAAGCCAAGGAACTGGCCCATGGGGTGAGCACGAGGGATGCTCTTAGCGACCCCTTATTTGTTGTTGTCTTATGGCCAAGACGATTCTTCCTGGTAACGGGAACATGCATTCCACAGCTTCTGTTACGTATTAGCCCCTCCAACTGACTAGAAACTCCCCAGGGATAGGGAGACACCGTACTGCTCATCCAAGGATATTGCCCTTCTCCCAGCAACCTCACAGAGCTTTACATGTCCAAGATCCTTAGAGAATAATTAATGGGAAAATAACCACATAAAAGGACTGTTCCAGAGATTCAAGTCTCAGGGTATATATATATATATATATATATATATATATATATATTCATAATTTTAAAATGTGCTTGATTTTCAAAATAAAAATGTTAAATCATGATAAAACTTTAAGAATTTCTGCAAAAACAAAAAAGAAATGATATGCCAAAAATAAATACTCGGAAGTGCCAACTAATTCAGTGAGTAGAAAAGATTCACTATGTATTTAATTGAATATGTGGGCCAGGAAAATGTTGCCATAGCTTTCTTTAACTATAAAGAACATAAATAAATATGCTTTAAAATGATTCCTGTTCTTTACCCCTTCCACCTCCAATGAGGTAAAGAATGTAAAATCGCAAGGGGAAAAAATATAGCTTAAATGTGCTATTTTCACTAACATAGTTATGATATAGGAGATACTCGGAAACATGCCGGCACATACACAGCAGAATTTATAATAAAGTTGTGAGAAACCTTCTCCTCCCCCAAAGAGAGCTCTACTGGCGAGATATTTCCTAGAAGAAAGCAATGGCTATTGAATTTGTGCCCTGATGCTTTCCTTCAAAGACTTTAGGGATGTTTAAATTGTGTGTGGGGGTGGGGGTTGGGGGGGGGTCTGTGTCTGTATTCACCAAGAAAGAAAAAGAGAAAGAGAATTGTGTTGGAAAAAGTTGCTTCTAAGGAGTGAGGTTGACATTAAGTCTTTTTTGCTGTACTTTATCAATGTAATTGGCTTTCATTTTCAAATCTGTGACTTCTGAAGGATCTGCTCTGGGGGCAGACTTCGTTACAGCTGCAGCCGAGAGTATGCCTGTCATTAGCCCAGTTGCTCAGTCACTGTCTCCATTTATAGTTGGGTTTGTAAAGTGTTCAAAATAGGAACTCTGGGTTTCTGCTGATCTTGAGTCATCAAAGAAAAGAAAAGCTTTATTTCTTCTTATATTCATTTCCATCTATGCTGACATTTTTTAAGACTGACATAGTTGACTAGGAAAAAAAAAACTGACCTTTTTTTTAGGTTCAAACTGACTCTACCGTGCTTTCTACTACAGAATGTCAGGATCTTAACTGCTTATTTATTTAGGAATTTCTTCAGGATATATATTTTAATACATTGCTTAAAAGGAAACTGAATCTCTTTCTTTTGGGTACTATTGGAGCCCTCTTCACGCAGAAGGGAAAAGCTACTCTGCCAAGACAATATTACTCAGGTTGCTTAAATTACAAAAGTAAATGGCAGGTTTGTCCCCTGAAAGGCTAGTATCAAAAGGAGGGGGGTGGATAAAAGATAACTGTATTCAACAGCCTCCTGTAACTTAGAGAACCACATCTAGAATTACACATTCCCCGGGAAAGCAGACAAGTAGAATTTGAGACACATAAAATGTGGAAAAGAGAGCTCCAACAGTCAGGATCCCAACACAAATGGTAGCACGCTGATTTATAAATGCGGGGTGTACACAGGCCATTTGGGTAGAGAGACACCTGAAGGGACAGAGCGATAATCTGGAGCTAGCCAAGTCAGAGCTGTCATGTCCTCTAGGCTCAAGGGGACAAAGGGGGAGAGCAGTCATTTCAACGAAGAGGTGACAAGTGGTGTAGAGGAGAGATGCTAGAGAGGGCTGGTGACCTCCTTGGCTCACATCTGGGCACTTCCCAGGTAGGTTGACAGAAGAAATGTGCTCCAAGAGTCCATCAGTGTTTTTCCTCAGGAGCACCGTTGCCATCTTGGGTTTGACAATGATGTTTTGCTGCCTGCCCATGCAATGATAACAGCAGCCCCTAGTCACCATGACAGTCAGGTTATCCCCACTCATTCCCAGACTTCCCTGATCAGTAGGTGATTTCTTCTCCAGTTGAGAATCACTATATGTTAACCAAATACCCCTGGGAATGTTTTAATCTTTATCTCTAGATCAACATAGATGACCAGAAAGCTATCTTCAGAAAGCTATATGTCTGAGTCGATAGACTTGTATATTATGGAGGGGGCAAGGTAGCTGCCCTGTCTATGACCCCGTATCTGCGTATCAGGCAGGAAAGAGGAATGGGCTCAGTAGGTAGGGATGATGCTTAATCGGGAGAGTGTTAGTTTTCCCAGAAATGCTTAGCATATATCTCATTGGTCAGAACTGTGTCCCAAGGCAACTCCTATCCTACAGCCTAGTCAAGGGAAGTATTTTAAGTTGGGCCCATTGTTACCTTGAATAGAATTGCAATTCTTTGAGTAATGAAGAAGGGGAGTGGGCATGAAGAATTAGTTTAGCAGCATCTTTCCAGCAAGCTACATATCTATAGTGTCTTGGTGTGGATGAACGACACTAGAGTAATAGAAGACCTTGCATTTCTCTCTTTCTATGCATACATTAATTTGCTTGGGAATTAATAAAAAACAAAATCAGGGTGTGCTCATTCATTTGTTACAGCAACAGATCTAATCATAGTAACTCAGAGTAAACTGAAAACATTCTGTCATTGGCATATTTTCGGATCCCTAATAGACTAATGCCTAAGGACGGAAGTTTAAATCTCTAAGCCTTCCCCGAGCCTTTCCTTATCCCCATCCTAACCAAGACCTCTCATAGTTTGGCAGTGAGATCTTTTCATCTCCGTGTCCTTACACATTCTTAGGATATTCAGCAAGTGTCTCTGAATTGAATGAATGAATGCAGTAGAAATTGGGCAGATAGAAAAGGAGGAGGAGTCTGCATTTGAGTTCTCTTTGGTAAATCACTCTTTGACAGGAATTTTTGGTTTAAAATTTAGCATCTTTTTGATTGTGCTGAGGGTGTTTGTTTCTCTCAACACCCCTCTTTGCTTTTACTTTTTTCTGTTCCCTTGGCCCAGTCCTCTGTTCTCTTTCTCTGGTACCTCCTTTTAGCCTGAATGGTGACTAAGTCTTTGGGTAATTCGATTGAGATCACATTGTTCTGTTTATTTTTGTTGTTATTGCTAGTGCTTTCAGTGTTAAATTAAAAAAAAAAATGCCAAAGCCAGTGTCATGAAGTTTTGTTTTTTCCCCCCCTGTGTTTTCTTCTAAGAGTTTATATGTGTGTGTGTGTGTGTGTGTGTGTGTGTGTGTGTGTGTAGTTTTAGCTTTTACATTTAGAGCTAAAAATAGTGTAAAGTAAGGGTCCAACTTCATCCTTTTCCATGTACGTCTCCAGTTTTCTGAACTACTTGTTGAAAAGATTATCCTTTCCCAAACAAATGACATTGGCACCCTCGTCAGAAATTAATTGTGCATGCAAGAGTTTATTTCTGGACTCTCTGTCCTAATCTGTTGGTCTGTGTGTCTATCTTGATGCCACTATCATACTGTTTGGATTATGGTGGCTTTGTAATAAGTTTTGAAATTAGACAGTGAGAGATCTACATTTTGTTCTTCCTTTTTGAGAATGTTTTGGCTATTTGGAGTCTCTTGAGATTCCATGAATTTTAGACTGATTTTTTTTCTATTTTTATAAAATTTCCATTGGAACTTTGATAGGGATTGCATTAAGTCTGTAGAATACTCTGGGTAATATTAACATCTCTAGGATATTAAGTCTTCTAATCCATGAACACCGGATGTCTTTATATTTATTTATGTCTTCAGTTTATTTCTGCAGCATTTTTACTTTTTGGCGTAAGTCTTTTAACCTTTTTGATTAGCTTTATTCTAAAGTATTTTTTTTTCATTTTGATGTAATTGTAAACAGAATCATTTCTTTTGATTTTTTTTCTTCAGATTGTTCATTGCTGGTACTCAAAAATGCACATGTTTTTGTGTTCATATGTGAATTCTCAGAAGGCAGGAACCATGCCTTATTTGTATTTTACAGAGTTAAGATGAGATAATAATAGTGCCTAATATGTGTTCATTTCTGTGTTATTATTTTTCATTGATGGTAATCTTTGACCTTTTTATTTTTTTCTCTTTCCCACTTCAGGGCTCTGCTAGTTCGACAGCCTCTCCTCCAGCCTCCACCCCTGTCACAGGACACAAAAGAATGGTTATACCAAACCAACCCCCTCTAACAGCAACCAAAAAGTCTACATTGAAACAACAGCCTGCACCCCAGGCTGGACCCATCCCCGTGGCACCAATCGGAACACTAAAACCCCAGCCTCCACCGGTCCCTGCCTCCTATACGACAGCGTCCACCCCTTCCAGGCCTACCTTCAATGTGCAAGTCAAGTCAGCCCAGCCCAGCTCTCTTTACATGGCTTCTCCTTCATCGGGACAATTTTATGGCCCAGGCCCGGGACCCCAGGGCTATAACGCTCCACCAGGTTCTATCTCTGGGCAGTGCCCACCTCCTTCAACACGGGGGGGCATGGATTATGCATATATTCCACCGCCAGGACTTCAGCCTGAGTCTGGGTATGGGTACACCCCCAACCAAGGACGTTACTATGAAGCCTATTGCCCCACAGGGCCTGGCTATGGGGGCAAAAATGACTCTGATCCGGCTTATGGTCAACAAGGTCACCCAAATACCTGGAAGCGGGAACAAGGGTATACTCCTTCTGGAACAGGAAACCAGAACCCGGCTGGGATGTATCCAGTTGCTGGTCCCAAGAAGACCTATATCACAGATCCTGTTTCAGCACCGTGCGCACCACCACTGCAACAAAAGGTAGGGAGCTCACTCACATGGTGATGGCACTGAAGGAGATTGTTTCTTGGCCTGCTTTCCCCAGAAAGCAGAGCCTAAGGCAAAAGTGTATGTGCTCCTTTTATGTCATTAGGAAGTAGAGTCCCAGGGAAGTATGAGTGAAGCAGGAAAGGGGGAAGATCTATGCAGGGTATGTTATCAGTATGGCTACCATTTAGGATCAGGTACAACCAGTTGGTTCAATCTTGAGGATCATCTTCCAAAAGACTCTATATGAACACATCAGGACAGTCTGTTCAGGGAGAGGAAGGGAAAATAGTTTATCTCCCAGCTTCTCTCTGTGGTTCAAAAATGTCCTCCCACTTAGACGTTACATTTACCTGGGCTCTGAATAGATCTGCAGTATCTCGTATGTTAGTGGGGACAGGATGTTCCCAGGATTGTAGGGAAGAGGTGTATAGGGCACAGGAGATGCAGTGCTGTCAAGGTGGTCTCGTGTAGTCAGTCAGAACCCAAGCCAAGGTGGTGCTTTGGGTTCTGCCTTGGGCAGAATGAGCCCAGGACTGCTGGGGCAGAACAAGTGGCCCAGGGCCTAGGAGGTGGGTGAGATCAAGGGGATTCAAGATAAGGCAGGCGCCTCTTCTAGTTTCCTTTGGGAAGGGGCTGCAGTGTAATGGCACTCGTTTATTGCCTCTTGTTTATTCCCACCACTGATCCTCCAGGAAGAATCTTCCTCTCCAGGCTTTAACTATATTAGGAAATTTTTAAAAGTTCTTTATGACAGTGGTTTGATTTAATTGCAAGTATGCATGTCTTTTAAGTCAACACGTTCAGTTACTTCCTGTGAATGGTTAAGATATAATACTACACATACCTACTCACCTACAACTTGGATTTTCCATAAGTACTAGAACCAACGTGATGATGTTTCCTCCCACCCTGACAAGAGGAACCAAGGAGAGTTACTTGGAAGGGATGTGATGGAGAAACGAAGCTAGTTTCCAGTTAATGGGTTGGAACTGAGCCCTCCCTTTTAGTTAGAGCTGTGAGAAATCAGAACCTGGAGAGCCCTTCATTAGTTGAAAGTTAAATGGTAATTGTTGAGATGGATTATGGAAGTGTGTGTGTGTGTGTGTGTGTGTGTGTGTGTGTGTGTGTATAATTCTTTACCCATTTAAGATTGTCAATTTCCAGACACACCTATTCACATTTTCAACATTATAACAAAAATTTGTCAGGCCCTTGCTCTCCAGCTAAGGTGTTTACTAAATCACAATTCTCACGTGAAAGCATCTGTTCTATTAATTGTGTTCCAAAAGAAGCTTAGGTTCTTTAGAGGAAAAGAACCCTTCCCAGTAGAGCGTGTGAGTAGCTGAAGGCACCTGTTAACCTTATGAATGCTCATTACATGAAAGTGAACCAGCGATGGTCATTCTCCAACATAAAGATTCCCAGTTAAAATGTTGTGTGTTTTTGAGACATTACTCTTGGAAGGCCTTTCCTTTCAAAATCTCTCCATGCAAAGAAAATTTTTAAGGGTTTTGTGTTTTGTTTTGTTTTTAAATAAAGTTTATCCAGAATAGCCAAGCTGGATAGGCTTGCCCTTCATTAACATTACAGTTTTCAAGGAAAGGTTTTTCCAGGAGGACCTGAAAACAACCAGGTCAGGAAAAAAGGGGGTTATTCAACTTTACCTCACTTTGGTATAACTGAAACAAATTCTCCTATGGAAGATTAAAAGTTTAGGTTGGGAAAATTGCCATCCACACTTAAGCTCATATAGGCATGCGGTTTTGCCCTGTCTAGAGCAGCTTGACTGATGTTCCTGCGGGAAAGAGATGGGCCCTGAGTTATGTTTAAGGATGCCAACACCCCACCTAGAGAAACAGACATAAGCCAGGGCAAAAGTATGTCTAGGTGGAGGGAATCATCTGGTGGGAAGGACTGAGCCAGTCTTCGAGTTTCCTGTTTATCCATCACGTCATGGGCCACCACAGATAGTCCCTCTTCAACATTTTGAACCAACCCAGTATTGTAGGTGGAAAAAATCAGCACCCATTGCAAGAGATGGACCTAAGATGTCAGGTCCAGCCACATGACTAACATTTGATCTGTCCTCAGCCATCCAGTCGGGGTGCTGGAATCAACTTTGACTAACCACTCACCAGAAAGCACAAAACTTCATTTTCCTTCTTAGAGGCGTAAGGTCATGATTCAGGATGATTTACTACATTATTACAGAGTCTGGGTATCAGTGGACTTCATGTCATTGAAAAATTTTTTGGAAATACTTATTTATAACCATGTCATGCATTTTAACATCATACTGTGCCTTTTAAACATGAAAATTAAACCGTGTATTTTTGCTGCCATTATAAAGGAGAGTGGTTAGAGGTTGATATTTAGCCATCTGTCTGTGTTTGGGGAAAGGGGAAAGAGGCCGATGAAGCTTTAGGTATTTCCTGTGTGTGTTGTGGGGGCACTGATGGCTGAAGGTGTGGGCTTTCCACAGTTGGTCTTCCAGCAGAACACTGCTGTATTCAACTGCACCTGTGCACAGAGGCCCTGAGTGTCCTGATACTGACTCTGCTTGGCTTAGTCCTGTGACTGCTGGCTTGAGAAAGGAGCTCCTAATTCTAATCCCAGTTCCTCCCTTGACATTTCTCTTTCAGCTTGGGAAAAGTCCTCTAGACCCCTTTATGTCACGCTTCCAGCCTCAGTAAAGTGGAACATCATCTTCACTCATTAATTAATGATTGCAGAGGGCTTGGAAATTTCCAAGGGCTGCATAATTGCCAAATGAGGACTATTTCGGTTTTCCCCTGGCTTTCATTTATTTCCAGTTGTTTTAGCCACTGGTGGAAGATGTACCTTCATACCTTAAAACAATTATCTTTTGTTACAATTGAGAAGTTCAGAGGAATTTGACATTGGACCCATTAAAGAAAAAGTGGTGGTGGTTGCTTTTAAGTGAAAGAAAGAAATCTCTCCTATATTTGAGATGAGCTGCTTTAATTTCTCTACAATATAAAAGAAGTGGGGAAAGAATAGAAGGGGAAAGAAAAGGGGAGGAAAGACAAGGAAGAAAAGAATGAAGAAAGGAAGGAGGCAGCATGAGAACCTGCAAAGTGCGGGGGATCATGATTATATTTATGTTCCCATAATGTGCTGAGCAGTGAATTTGCATGCTACAGTAGACCATAATGTGTTTCCTGGACCATCTGAGCTGAGTTCCTTCAAAAATATTGTTATAAGCAAGTCTTTATAAGAGAGAAATATTCCTTTCCCACTGGAAATCCTCTTAAAGATGCAGTGGAATCTTTTCTTTAGGCTCTTTTCTAGAAGCTCCTATCTGCTAGCTGCTGTACAGTTTACACAACTCTTGTCCTGTGCATTATTTGCACACGCCCGTGAGGCAGGATGTGCCTTTTTTCCAATATTCAGATGAGGTGAGTCCGTCTGAAAGTGCCAGAGCCAGGACCTGGAGGCCAGTCATCACTCTTGCGTGCACAGTGACTCAAGGGCAGGTCAGCTTTAATACCCACTTCCTTGTCATAAACCTAATCTCTGTCAGCCTCCGATTTATTGAAGACAAATGGCGTTTGTCCCACAGTGTGTGAGATGCACAGGTGCTATGCATCCCAGGGAAACTGGGGGGGGGGGACCCACCTAGTGTGGGGGTGTTTGGTTAAATTCTAAAATCATCTACTCTTAACATCTTCTTGAAAACCCCTTCATGATGGTTTGAGTGTAGAGATCAGCACACTACTTTTCAATAAATCCAACACAAAGTTGTTTTTTTGTTTGTTTGTTTTTTTGTTTTTTTTTTTTAAATCCAGAGTTAGAACAAATCACTGCTCTTCATTTAGCTTTTGAATCTGGGGAATACTTAATGGTATAGAGAAGAGAGTGAAGGCAGTGGACTTTTGGGGTCAGTCTTAAAGGGTCCTAAGACCTGTAATTTGTTAAGATTCAGAAAATATTTGAGAATGTTCTTACAGTAATATTTCACACATTCAAATAGTATCAAAATGTGGAACTTTCCTTCACTGTGGAAAAGAGATGGATGTGCATATTGGGTATACTGCAAGGAAATGGTAGTATTTTGGAGAAAGCTTTCTTTATGGTAATCCTTGTACTAATTAGCTCTCAATTCCAGGATCAGAGAAACAAAAAAGAAGAGATGGTTAGGGTGGGGAGAGGGGTGGATGTAGAGAGATGCCTCAGGTCAGGCGCTAATACCTGGATCCATACAAAGATGACGATGGAAGAGATTGATGAGGCCAGTGACAAGAACATTAGTAATCCCCCTCTGTACAGGGTTTTTTAGTTTCCAAAGTACTTTGTGGACCCCGCAGAATCCACAAGGGTTCAAAAGCTCGGGACTGAGAGTCACTCTCTACAGATCATGTGTCAGATTCATGGGAGGACCACAGCTCCGATGTGGGTCTTCTGAATATTGTCCTCATGCTTTCCCCTTAGTCAGCCATGCGTGTCGGCATGCTTTGGTGTTCGGATGCTGGGAAGTACCACATCAGCATCACCAACCCCTGGACGTGGCTCCACCGTGGCCCGACTTGCTGGCAGGCATGTAAGTGGGCTTAGGCAGTTGTGGTGCAGTGCCTTCAGACCAGCCAATGGAGGGGAAGAACCCTTTTCATCCCTGCTGGACATCCAGGCCCGGGGCCCTGGGGCTGGACTTCCTCTTCCGCATCACCCATGTACAACTTACCCTGTTGTTTCTACCTCACAGTGTCGCACATCTGGTTTATCTAAATCCCCTTGGTACCGTCCTATTTCAGGTGTCCTAATTTCTCACCTGAGTTATGGAAATGGCCTCTTAATGGGTGTCTCCACTTCTAGGCTCTGCACACACCTGTCCATCCTCATGTGTGAGCAGATGAATCTTTCTACCTTACACACTCTGCCTAGTGTGGGGATAATTGCCTTTAAAAACAAACAAACAAACAAAAACCCAAAAAACCGAAGCCTTCAAAAATTCCCAGCCAGTTCCGGAATTA